TATAAACAAAAAGTAAGTAATTTTTAGAAAGTGATGGCATTGAATAATCATCACTGCAAATGTATATAGATCTTGGCATGTGGAATTGAAAGAACAGTTTCCTAATTAAAAAAAAAACCAAACACCAAACCAATTGCCTCAAGTCGATTTTGACTCATGGTGACCCCATGTGTGTCACAGGAGCACTACACTCCATAGGGATTTCAAGAGCTGGCTTTTTGGTAGTAGATTGCCAGGCCTTTATTCCAAGGTACCTCTAGGTGGGTTGGAACCATCACTCTTTCAGTTAATAGCCAATTTTTTAAACCATTGACACCACCCAGGGACTCCTTCTTGCCTAATGAGTAGGCATTTATTTCTGACTTTACTTATCTCTGTCTTTTTTCCAACAGACTGGAAAAAATCTGATTTTCTAGAAACAAGGTTCATTCCAGAAACAACCTTGACTTGCAAAAGAATGGTCTGAGGAAGTACAGCCCAGTGTTGACTTTTGTTCTGTTTGCTGTTGCAGCTTACATTCCTTTTACTTTGACTGTCAGATTATGAAATAACGAGGCAGGGAGGTATGGAGGAAACACTATGTCCTCGTCTTTTAACCCGCAAAACAGTGTTCTCTTGCTGACAGTGGGAAGGAAATAAAAAGAATAGGAGAAGAGCCCCAAACTACATGATTGACATCAGTAAAGAATCCATATTTATTTACCCAAAACAAACCCACTGCTTCCGAGTTGATTCTGACTCATAGCGACTTTCTAGGAGAGAATAGAATTGCTCTATAGGGTTTCTGAGGCTGTAATCCTTATGGGAGTGTACTGCCACATTCTTTTTCCCGTGTAGCAGCTCAATCTTTTGGTTAACAGCTGAGTGCTTACCCACTGTGCCACCAGGGTAGATTTGAAAGCTGCAAAGATTATAGGGGGAAATATTTTAATTAACCATTTTTCTCTTTTTAGTTTTGTGGAAAAGAACATGTAAATGAGGAGGCTACATGTCATCTTTTCTAGTGTTGCTGCTTAAATCCATTATATTTCCTTTAAAATCAGGCTCCTCATTATATATTTCTATTTCAGCTGATGCTGCCCTCATTCTGCTGTTGACCTGGACTTGAAACCTTGAAAATCTTCCTTGAGTTTTCCCCCTACTCCTTTACCGTAAGCCGTGATGATTTTTCCCCCCTCACCTCCATCTCTTCCTTTCAATTCCTGATGTAGCCACTCTGCTTCAGGCTACCTGCACCATTGAAATTACCTCCTAGGAGGTGTCCTTCTACTTTTTCTTCACTGCACCCACCCCCTTCCCCATCCTCAGTTGCATTGGGCTGTAAGATTAATCCTCCTAAAATACCTCTTTGCTCTGCTCACTTTCCTCCCTCCTAAGAGTCAGAAATCATAAGTGATCTCTACTCTTTACTGCAGGATTTCCCGTCCGGTGTATGTGAGGAGCAACTTCAGTTTAAGCTTTGAGATTATCAAGAGGATCTCACTGATGCTATTATTAATAGGAATGCCTGTTTCCCTGGTTAGGTGGTAGTGTTGGGAGGGTGCTATGCTTACAAAGTTTGATTGAGGGAAGAGGTACCCTTCTCTTCCTTGTTGGCACTAACAAGAAAGAAGTATGGTAGTGGCAACCAACTATTAAGTATTTCTTTGAGATCTACGGTAAGATTTGGGTCTCCTTGTTGAAGGCCTACAAATAGCCTGTAGCTATTTTTCACTGCTTTGACAGTCTGAAACGTACCATCTTATTCAAGCTTGTTTTTTATTAATTACTTACAGGAGACTCCTGTTGCTGACAAAATGTTCTACTATACATTTTGCTTCCTGAATGCAAACATTCTCATCTATACACTATTGATCATAATACCCAAATGTCCCTTCCCCTTTAAGCCATACACACTTTTTCCCAGTTTTTCTCCAAAAACCTTCCTTTGGCTCACCATTCCCATAACACCTATTACTTTCTAGTGCCATTTTTGTTTATTCAGTAAAAATTAATTGAGTGCCTATTATGTTAGGCAGTGTGATAGGAATGCAACTTAAAAAGACCATTTCTTTGTCCTTTAATGAGGGAAACAATTATACCAACAGGTGCAGTCAAATGAGATAGATAAGATTCAGAAGAGGTAAGTAAACCAATTGGGGATAAGGTGGGGGGAGTGGGGCAGGGTTTTCTGTAGGAAAAACAGTTACAGGAACTAATCTCACAACGTGGAGCCCTGGTGGTGTAGTGGTTAAGATCTTGGCTGCTAACCAAAAGGTTGGCAGTTCAAGTCCACCAGCCATTCCTTAGAAACCCTATGGGGTGGTTATACCCTGTCCTGTAGGGTCGCTGTGAGTTGGAACCGACTCGATGGCTCCCGGCATTTTATGGCAGTGTATTTTGATCTGGGAGAAAGATCTGGTGATCTGCTCCCATAAAGATTATAGCCTAAAAACCCTGTGGGGCAGTTTTGCTCTGTCACATGGGGTTGCTGTGAGTCAAAATCAACTCAATGGCACCTAATGACAAAAACACGTATTTTGATCTATGTAGTTTAAATATTTAAAGTTTTTTTTTTTTTTGGTTGTTGTTCTTAAATGTAAACTTGTGTCATTTAATTTTATTTCTATCCGTAATGAATGTGGTGACCAACTGGTTACTGTCTTCTTAATGATAGCATCCCAAATGTTTGATCAAGAAACACCTCTCAGTTCTCTCTTTAGACAAAATAAACCTAATTTCTTCAAGGGTGCCACGGCCCTATTACTAATTATTCTAAATTCTTATACTGTGGAGTCCAAAACAGCATGCAGATGGGCTGACTCAAAAAGCTGTTCAGAGCAGTGCTTCTAACACAAATCACTGCAATTTTGTTACAGTGCAGATTCTGATGCAGTAGACTGGAGCAGGCCTACGAATTTGCGTTTCTAACAAGCTCCCAGGTGATGCTGGTGCTGCTTATAGGCAGAACATGGCAGGGTTTTAGAAGATATAAAGAAATAAGGAACTAAGATAAAAATAAGTGAAGGTATGTTTTGTTCAGTCTATGGATGGATCCTGTAGTCTCTGTACACCCTCTTAACCCTCGGTTACTCTCACTAATCTAAATCAACAGCTAATTACCCAGCTGGGTTGGGCTCATATCCTGTACCCAGAGACAGTGAATCTGGCCAGTGATCTGTCTAGAAAGCTCCACTTCCTCTCCCCTCCCCACCCCCGCCCTGGTAGTGAGTATCCTTTGTGTCATGGGGAGCTATGATAAGGTGTGCACCCACTAATTGAGGCTGTGATATGATTCCCTGAAGTTCCTGGCCACTGAGTAATAGGAAGCCCCATCTTGGCAGTGGGAAGTGTTCCTTTTGGCATCCTGCCTCCATCCAACTGGTTTGTATAACAGTTGGGTTCCAGGAATGGCTTCCGAGGCAAGTCTGTATACTGTAATGTGCAATCAGGAACTGGCAGAAAATTTATCTTTATCTTTTAAGATTCCCATTAGAAATTCTCATTACTCATAGGAGTCTCAGCATGTTGAGTGACCTGCCCATGACCCACTGAAGGAGCCTGCCACAGTGAAATGAAACTGTCTCTTTATTCTGCTTGAGTGTGTCCCTGATGGTTTTCTGTGAATGTTACTGGCTCCACTATGCTCTTTTATTTTGTAGACATTCTTGTAGACCGAAGACAGGAAAGCAGTTGTTGCAGGCAATTTGTTCCTGAGTCCTTACAACCAAAGCTAGAAAGAATTATTTTCATTGTCTTCCTGGTGAACTTTCCTATGGAATTCCCCCTTAGACTGGTTTGCAGCAATGGCTTTTAGATTGAAGAGATCTTGTTTAGTGTGACTGTCTCAGTATAAACTGGGAAATGCTGATGGTGTCAGGTTGGGGAAGAGTTGATAAATGGCTTGGTTCAGTGATTTTCAAACTTCAAATGTATCAGTCACCTGGAGGGCTTGTTAAAATGAAAATTGCTAGGCCCCACTCCTAGAGTTTCTGATTCAGTAAGTCTGGAGCCCAGTTTAAAAAATAAAAAACCAGTCACTGTCAAGTCAACCCTGACTCATGGAGACCCATGTGTGTCAGAGTAGTACTGTGCTTCATAGGGTGTTCATTGGCTGGTTTTTTGAAAGTAGATCCCCAGGCCTTTCTTCGAAGGCATCTCTGAGTGGACTTGAACTTCCAACCTTTCAGTTAATAACCAAGCACATTAACTGTTTTCACCACCCAGGGACTCCTAGGTCTGGAGCGGGGCCTGAGAATTTGTAACAGCCCTGTTCCTTCCCATGTCTTGTGATGCATTTGCATAAAATGCAGTCAGTGATAACCAGGGAGGTGGGCACATGTTCACAGTAGCATATATGGTGTTGATCACAATCCCGTCATTACCTCCCAATCCTCATAGATTTGTTAGTTGCCTTTATTTTATTTAAACACTGAGGCCCAAGGAAGCAGCAGTTCTTCCGAGGTTCCTGTGCAGTCAGTGCCCTTTGTGGTAACCCAGCTCGTTTCCCATAGGACATCTTGGTTTATACTGGAGTAAAGACCAGTCTTCTAGGGTAAGGATGTATGGATGCATAGGATGAGGGCAGCAGAAAAGTTATTTCCCACCCACTTTCCTACCACTAAAATACATGCTTTTCCTAGATGATCCTCTTTTTTTCTTGACAGCTGAGAAGAGGAAGTTTGACTGACTTGGCTATTTCCATCTTTCTAAATTCCTTAGAAAAACCCTGGTGGCGTAATGATTAAGAGCTATGGCTGCTAACCAAAAGGTGGGCAGTTCAAATCCACCAGGGGATCCTTGGAAACCCTATGGGGCAGTTCTACTCTGTCCTGTAGGGCTGCTATGAGTCAGAATCAACTCGATGGCAATGGGTTATTTTGTTTTTGTTTTTGTTTTTTTTAATCCCTTAGATGTACCTAGCTTAAATTGCAAGGATAAGATGATTGATTTTGTTTGTCTGTTTGTGCCGGTACTCCTTTTATTAAATGTGACTAATGTACTACTTTCTATTGAAATAGTTCTGGAGCATCCCAGGAGGGACACAATGATCTGGACCTGGGTCTGGATGACCTTCCCTCAGATGAGGAGGAAGTCATCAACAGTTCTGATGAAGATGATGTCAGCTCTGGTTCTAGTAAAGGAGAGTCTGACCCACTGGAAGACAAACAGGTATGTTTTGGTACTTAATTATTTCTGCTTTTGTGCTTTTTGGCCTGTCATTATGTTTGTGAATAATACTTATTAGCATAATAGGCACAAAAATCTAGTGAATTTTCTTAAAGCTTGTAAAACAGTGTTCTAATTCAAATTTCATTCCTATGTAATCTAGAGTCTAAGATGTTATAGTTCCAAGTGCATATCACTTAGAGATTATTTAGTGATTTTTGAGTAATTATTTTTAGTAGTGTCCACTGATTTTCCATTTTAATAACTAAAATGTCTCTTAGGATTTTTCCTTGTACTGCTACCCATTCTGCTTAGATTTCTTGAAAGAAGGGGATTATATATGTTGTCATACTCTGCCAAATCTTTTTAGGGATAGAATAAAGATTGCTGTTAATAGTATATCAGCATTTGTTTTGAAATAATCCAGTGTGTTTGTTGGGGATACAGTCATAATATAAACGAAGCAAGATTGACCATGTGTTGATAATTGTTTAAAATGTGTGATCGGTACTGTTGCGTTACTTTTGTATGAATTTGAAATATTCCATTATAAAAAGTTTTTTAAAAGCATGGTTTTTTAAAAATCATTTTTTAAAAGCATGATTTTATATGTTACAAAAATACTCAAATACATATTTTCATTTTAAATCACATTTCTTTAACTAAAGACATGATTAAGGGGAAAAAGTAGTACATCAGCAGTATCCCCAGGATGTTTTGGTATGGTACAACGAGATGGAATTCGAAGGGATCCACACAGCATATCAAGTTATGAAGAAAACCCACGTCACTTAATTCCTATGCTATAATTTATCAATAGGTTATGCCTCCTGTTTAAAATATTTTGCTCTGTTTAATTCATTTTCAGACTTCAGTGAACGGCACATGTTGATTTTCACCTTGTATATTATTGCTAGAGTAGAGTGGCATTGGAGTGCAACTGTCTTGAGTTAATTCCCAGCTTCACCACTTATGATCTGGGTCCAAAACCAAACCAAACTCATTGCCATTGAATCAATTCTGACTCATAGGGACCCTGTAGGACAGAGTAGAACTGCCCCATAGGGTTTCCAAAGCTATAAATCTTTATGGAAGCAGACTGCCACACCTTTCGCCCATAAAGCGGCTGATGGGTTTCAGTTCGCAGCCCAGTGCTTAACCACTGCACCACTGGGGCTCCTGAGTGCTGTAATGAATCAACCTTTATTCTCTTTGATGAACAACTCCAAGTTTTTATTTTCCTAACAGATACTGTTTTCTATCATTTTCATATATATGTCTTGCTTGAACCCTTTTCAGTTTTTCCCCATACTTTGTGGTGACCAAAACTAGTTTCCATATTCTTCTAGGGATCTCACTGATTCACGGTATAAAGAAAAGTTTAAGGATAAATGTCTAACCTTTAAGTGTTACATATCCTCCCAGCACATCCTGTCATAACACTGCCTGGTTGACTTACTCATTTGTGATCAGTGGAGACTCCCAGGATTCCTTCCTCTGTATTTGTACCTGCCTTTCCTCTCCCTTTTTATATTTATATTATTGTTTTTGTCCTTAGTTGTGCCACATTGCAATAGTCCTGTTAAATATTCATCTTTTTTAGAGTGATTATTTCTTCAATTAACATATTTAACATTGCATATTTAACATTTTTGTGCTTGACAGCAACGTATTTTCCTCTTTAGAATTCTTAGCCTTTCTGATGAACTTACTGTCTTTTCATCTGAGACATCAGTACCCAAAACCAAACCAAACCCACTGCTATTGAGTCGATTCCAACTCATAGTGACCCCATACAGTTTCCAAGGCTATAAATCTTTACAAAGCAGACTGACTGCCACATCTTTCTCCCTCGGAGCTGCTGGTGGTTTTGAACCGCCGACTTTTGCTTAGCAGTCGATTGCTTTACCTACTTGACACCAGGGCTCCTTAAGACATCAATAAAAAACCAAACCAAACCCGTTGCCGTTGAGTTGATTCTAATTCATAGCGACCCTTTAGGACATAGTAGAACTGCCCCATAGGGTTTCCAAGGAGCGCCTGGTGGATTCGAACCGCTGACCTTTTGGTTAGCAGCTGTAGCTCTTAACCACTATGCCACCAAGGTTTCCTGAGACATCAATAGAGATAGTAAAATGAACTAATTCTACATTGCTTGGCAGTTGTTAATCCATCTAACAGTACCCTGGTGAATGCTTTTCTCTTAAGTAATTTGCTTTCGTAGTGGTTAAGAAGAACACAGTCTTTGGAACCAGGTTGTCTGGGTTCCCCCCACTTATTAGCTCTGTGATCTTGATAAGCTTATAACTTCTCTGTGTCTTAATTTCCTCATCTATAAAAAGAAGAAGATTGTTGTAAGGACTAAATGATTATATGCTGTTTAGAACAGTGCCTGACACATGAGTGCTAATAATTCTTAACTATTATTATTTTTAAAATTTTATTTTGTTGTTGTTGAGAATATACACAGCAAAGTGCACACCAATTCAGCAGTTTCTACACACACCATTTAGTGACATTGATTACATTCTTCAAGTTGTGCAACCATTCTCACCCTCCTTTTCTGAGTTGTTCCTCCCCCATTAAGATAAGTTCACTGCCCCCTAAGGTTTCTATATAACCTTTTAAGTTGCTGTTGTCACTTTGATCCCATATAGATAGTTCTTAAAAGAGCATAATGTTCAAGGCAGACATTTTTTACTAGTTAAACTAAACTATTGTTTGGTTTTAAGAAGACTTCAAGGGATATTTTTGGTTTAAGATTTAAAGATTATCTCAGGGTGATAGTTTTAGGGATTCATCCAACCTTCATTGCTCCAGGAAGTCTGGAGTCCATGAGAATTTGAAATTCTGTTTTGCATTTTCCCCCTTTTGATCAAGATTATTCTATAGAATCTTTGATTAAAATGTTCAGTAATGGTAGCCAGGCACCATCCAGTTTTTCTGACCTCATGGCAAAGGAGGCAGTTGCTCATGGAGGCAATTAGCCACACATTCCATATCTTTCTTCTGTTCCTGACACTCCTTCTTCCTCTGTTGCTTCAGGCAAATAGAGACTAATTGTTGTGCCTCAGATGGCTGCTTGCAAGCTTTTAAGATTCCAGGTACTACACAACAAAATAGGAGGTAGAACAGAAGCACTAAACAAGTTATTAGGTCACTTAACAGGTATGCCCCATGAAACCATGACCCTAAACCTCCCAACCAAGGAACCAAATCCCATGAGGACTTTGGTTGTACATAAGCAGCCTCAGCAGCTACTCTTTTTTTTTTTTTTAAGTCACGGTTGTAAACATGTCTATCGCACAACTTTTGCCAATTCAGTTTGTTGCTTGTGTACAACTTATTGCCAGCAATTACAATAATCAGCTATACAGCCCTACCCTTAATCAATGTGATATTTCCATCGCCATTAACCCCTCTTTTCCCCCTCCCTCCTGCCCCTGGTAACCACTAATAAGCTTTGTTCTCCATACATTTGCCTTTTCTTGTCTTCTTATCTAATGAGGTCATATAATATTTGTCCTTTTGTGATTGACTTATTTCAGTCAGCAAATAAGCTCCATCCATATTGTAGCATATATCAAGACTTCGTTTCTTCTACTGGCTCAGTAGTATTCCACTGTATGTATGTACCACATTTTGTTTATCCATTCATTGGTTTATGGGCATTTAGGTTGTTTCCACCTTTTGGCTATTGTGAATAGTGTTTCAGTGAACACTGGTGTACAAGTCTCTGTTTGAGTCTCTGCTTTCCAGTCTTTTGGGTGTATACCTAGGAGTGGAATTGCTAGGTCATATGGTAGTTGTTTTTAGTTTTTTGAGGAACTGCCACCCTGTTTTCCACAACAGCTGTACCATTTTGCATTCCCACCAGTAATGGGTAAGGGTTCCAGTTTTCCAACACCTTTGCCAACATTTGTTATTCTCAGTTTTTTTTTAAATCTTAGCCATCCTCGGGGGAGTGAAATGGTATCTCGTTGTAGTTTTAATTTGCATCTCTCTATATGGCTAATGAAGCTGAGCATCTTTTCATGTATTTGGTAGCCATTTGGAGGTCCTCTGATGAAATGTCTGTTCAGGTCCTTTGCCAATTTTATGATTGGGATATGTGTCTTTTTGTTGTTAAGTTGTTGAAGTTTTATATTTATTTTGGTTATTAGATTCTTGTTGGATATATGGTTTCCAAAGATATTCTCCCAGTCGGTAGCTTGTTTTTTTACTTTTCTGGTAAAGTCTTTTGTCAAACAAAAGTTTATAATTTTTAAGAGGTCCCATTTATGTATTTAGTCTCTTGCTGTTTGTGCTTTTGTTATTATGTTAGATAATCCATTGTTAAAAGCTATGCTTGACAATGTTGCCCTCACTTTTTCTTCTAAGAATTTTATTGTTTTAGTTTGCACATTTTAGGCCCTTAATTCATTTTGAATTTGTTTTTGTGTATGGTGTGAGGCATGGAACCTGTTTCATTTTTCTGTGTATTAAAGTCCAATTTTATTGGATTTTATTGAAGAGACTTTTCTTTCCTATCGAATGGACTTAGTACCCTTGTCAAAAATCAGTTGACCAAAGATGTGCAGGTTTATTTCTGGACTCTTAATTCTTTTCCATTGGTCTGTGTGTCTATTGTTATACCAGTACCAGGGTGTATTGATTACTGTTGCTGTGTAAAAAAAAACAAACCCATTGCCACTGAGTCGATTTTGACTCATAGTGACTCTATAGTATGTTTTAAAATTAAGAAGTGTGAGTCCTCCTACTTTGTTCTTCTCTTTCACCATTGCTTTAGCTATTTAGGGCTTCTTTCCATTCCATTCTATATAAAGTTGAGGATTAGTTTTTCTATTTCTATAAAGAAGGCTGTTGGAATTTTGATCAGGATTGCATTGAATGTGTAGATTGCTTTGGGTAGTATTGATATCTTAACAATATTAAGTCTTCCAATCCATAAACAAGGATTAACTATTATTGGTTTATATGAAAATAAACAAGAGAAACCGTGG